AAAACTATTTTTGAAACACTCGGTCTTGCATTAGGAATCACAAATGCCTTTTGCACCGGAGATTATAACACGATGGCCCTGATGATTGACGCATTTTATGTAAGGGATGGGCTGGGTCATTAGCTATCCAGAGGAAGCTCTTTTTACATAAGCTAGCGATGTAGTCATTGATAGACATAATATTTGAAAGCTCTAAGGTCTCTCTATAGGCCAGGCCTGGGCAAATGATTGACAATGCCCGTTTCTCTACATTCTCCAGATCTTTCTTGCTCAAATAATAATAATAATATAATAATAAAGTATTTATATAGCGCCTATCCTTTTCAGTGCTAAGCACTTTACAATGCTTTAAAAAGGACTAAAATCGTATACCTATATATATACATAATAACTAAATTACAAAATGGAGAGCCTAGGATAGTTCATAAACTTGCTTAAAAAGAAAGGTCTTCAATCTAGATTTGAACTTGTTTACATCATCGATTGATCTAATGTCAATTGGTAAATCGTTCCAAAGTATAGGGGCAATAACTGAGAAAGCCCGTAAACCATATGTCTTTAAGTTATAGGGTTTGATAATAAGACGCCACTTATCTGAAGATGAGTGAAGGTACCTTGTAGGTTCATAAACATGAATTAGGTCAACCAAATAATCAGGGGCTAAATTGTTGAGTATCTTAAAACAAATAAGATTAATCTTTAAGATTATTCTTTGCTCCACCAGCAGCCAGTGCAGCTCCTTTTAGAGTATCGCTTATGTGATCAAACTTACTTAAGCAAACAAGGGGGGACGAGGGGGACGAGGGGTAGCAAAGCATGTTTTCAACCGAGCGTGCACATCAACAACCTAGCTCGCTCAATTCACTGTCATATTGTTTGCATAAATCATTCACATTGGATGCCAGTGAGGAGAAAAGTGTCCAAGCCATGACATCATAGCAAAATACAGTTGGATCAACACCACGAATTTTCCGATATTGTTTTTTAACTTTTGGTGGACGTGGCTTGGCAAGTGATAGTTTTGAACGGATAGCTGAGTGATCGGACAAATGAGGATTCAAAGTAGACCAGCGCACAATAATATCATCACACACTCAAGTGATCATCAAATCAAGCGTGTGATTATCCATATGAGTAGGGCCATAACTGAAATGGCCAGTTACAATCAATAATTTTGCTCTCAGCTTAAAGCAGAAGGTTTTACTTTTTTTTTACAGCTTGAGTCTAGCTTAAGTCTAGCTGAGCTGGGGGAATTATGCGCCGATGCAAAAGCGCGTAATTTTAGCTCAAATGCATAATTTGCATAATCCTGTAAAATGTGCATAATTTCCACATAATTTCCACATAATTCTTGATATTTCAGAAAAAATATGCCCTAAAAGATCAATTTTCCTACCTTCAAAACTTTTTCAAATAGTTTTTTTCAAATTCTAGTGAATTTTGATGGCAAAAACTGTATTTTTAACTGAAAAGATCGTGTCAAACATGCAGGAAAACAAAATCAAACAGGCCTCTTGTCTTTTGCTGCTGGAGACCTGGGCTCTAATTGTTGACTTACAAGCAATATGATTGGAGGAAAAAGAACCAATCAACACTTCTGAAAGAAAAATGGTGCCATGTTGGTAAATTTATTTCAGAAACTTTCTTTTCTGTTCTTTTCGTGTTTAATATGGAAAGTTTTTTCAAGCCAAAGAAAAAAAATTACAATATAATGGCCAAAGAGAGAGTTAAGCAATATCCTGGCAAATAATTATTAATAATTAAATTTTGTTAATATGGACTTACATATAAATTTAAAATATATGTAAAATTCAATACTTTTAATATTGTGCAACTTGCATAATTTGCTAAATTTGGCCCATAATCACAGAAAAAATGGTGCTTAATTTCTCATAAAATAGTGCATAATTCCCCCAGCCCTGTTATAGGTGAAGGAATACGGTAATTAATGGAGTCAGGTTGTCAGGTTGGGCTCTGCCTTCCAAGGTCGATTGAATTCAGACCAGTTATTGTTAAATAACTGGACTTGGGTTTTGAGTATTGAAAATAATAATTCTGTGGAAACATGCTAATCAGATTGGCATTTTTAAAATATCTTAAACTATTTGAATGGCCAAGAAAGAAAGAAAAAGATGACCTCTGTTGTGAAATGGAAGCAGAGGATGCAAGAAAGACTTCAGGGCTGCTGTGGAATTATTCCTTTCATTATTGAAGGACTAAATCTCTCTCTTTCATTCCACAGGCAACCTTTTAAAATATTTGTTCCCAACAGTATGCACAATTTATTTTACATTTATTTATGAACCTTAGAAACAATCTGTTATCATGAGCTCCCTTGAGCTTTGAACTTCCTCTTTAGAACTCACAGTTTTTTCTTGTGTCCTATGCTGGAAACAATAAAATTTTTTCAAAATTGATCACATTGATTTTATCATCTTTCTTTACAGCTGCTGGTTAGGTTGCTGTTTAATTCCATTTTGCTTGGATGGTTGCAAAGATGTCATTCATTCTTGTCCAAATTGCCATGCAAGGCTTGGCAGTTATCGCCGAATGTAGATTGTTAATCTGAAGACACATCACAAGTTGGAAGTACAAAGTACTTCTTGTTGAGTCTGAACTAAGCTGTACTTGATATCATATCTAAACCTCAATATATTTTCTCTGTCAAAACCAACAAAATGATAGTAATGATAGAAAAACATATATTAGACGATAGAAAAGTCACTAGAGTTGAAAGTTTTGTTAGCTAAAGTAATGCTCTAAGAGTCCTCTAGCTAACATTTTTTTGAAAATGTCTGCTCTGGGTATCCACTCCACTGCTTTTAAAATCAAAGTAAAAAAATATAGAGTGTGAATGGCAGTAGCTGTCTGTGGAGTATGCTAACTGAAGAAAGGGAGATACCCACTGTGTATGATTAATAATGTGATTTAATAAATATATTTTAAACACGTTTTTCGTTAATTAATCTGTAAACATGGGGCTAGAAAGATGTAGTGTTCTACTTGTGCATGGTGGAGAGGAAAAGGAAAGGTTGGGGAGGATGGAATTTGTTTGTAATAGTGAAAACTCTAACACTTCCTTTTGGGAACAATTCTAGTTGTTTGTGCCTTGACAAAGTTGGTGCCACATGTTGATGTTTCTGGAGAAGAAAAAAATGAAATAAATCACTTTAATAATATCACCAGGTAATCCCCTTAACTTTGTCTTTGAAATTATTTGCTTTTGCAGTGACTGACGTGATATTCTGGATGCCTCTAGTGTTTGGCAACTTTGACTTAAATATCTATTTTTGTAGTGGTGTTATAGAAAGAGTATTAATGCAGGTGTAGGGAGGTTGCTATAGAAGAAAATTCAAGAGATATCTTGTGAATTGTATCTCTGTGTCTTGTTTTGGCTTCACTCCCAGGTGTATTACTATTACAAAAAGAAAGAGACCAGAGACCTCCCAGTGTTTGTGTTGTTTTCTATTCCATTCAAGCCCGAAGATCATAATATCAACTCTCCACACGGACTTCCATACATTTCTAATAATTTTAGCTCTATGAATTTGATGTGAAATTAAAAAGTGTTCTCTGTTGATTTATTTATTTCATCTCATTACCTTTGAAATGTATGAACTTTATGGGAAAAAATTATTATGTTTTGATCAATCCTGGGTGTGGAAGGGATGATTTTTGGGCTAGAGGAGTTTTGTAAACTTTGGCAATATGGCTAATTCTGTTTCCTGTTTGGCAACCATTATATTAAAACATGGGCAGACTGTTAGGTAAAATGATTTTTTCTAGAAAGTATCAAAGATCATGCATATCTATGAAATGTGCTCTGATAATCAACAGAATAGAATGCCTAGCATTTTATTGTTTTCTGATAGTTAATGAGTCTTCAGATCCCTGTTTCCTTAAATAAAAGTGACGTGGGGAAAAATTGCATAATTTTTCAACTGTCATCAAAAATTATCGGTAATTAACAGGTGTTTGTGAATGATAAAATACGTTGGTGAATATTCAAATATAAACTCAAATTTAGTTGTCTGGTCTTCTGGTAATTGTACCCATATTTACACGGAAAAAAAAAATTGAAAACTGTGAGTGCATTTGAAATAGAATTTGAAAAATAGAGCTCAGAAAATTGAGTTTGCAAAAGAAATGATTTGAAAATTACGTAGAGTGATAGGTTCTCGATGAAGAAAAGGTGATTAAGAAATGATACTAAGATTTTACGGGGAATTGTTTGTTAACGCCTTATGCTAGCAGAAGTGAAAGTGTCATACCCTTCCTCTTCAAGGAATTTCGAATTTTGTAATTTGTGGTTCCCAACCATACCCATCTGTTTACATGCTTGGAATTCCCTTTTTTTAACCACGGTTTTAAATAGAAAGTGATGACATGACTCATCGTGCGCTGTTTGTTTGACAGTCTACCTTTTGTTAGTACGTAGAACGCGAGTTCAAAATACCGATTGTTTACAGTGCAGCATTATTGAATTAAAGCATCGGATTTTAGGTAAAGTGTGAACAAGATCAACAACATTTTTGCCGTTAAAGGAAGCACTGAGAACAAAAAAATAATATGTCACGGGATTTCGACTTCGTAACTTGAACTTTTCCACTTCCGGAAATAATTGCCCGAATATAGGACTGGAGTTCAACTGTGACGCTTTGTTTAACAATAGTTTACCCTAATTGGTGAGTTGATGTTTCTAATACCATGAAATGATATTAAGAAAAATCGATAGTGAAAGGCTTTCTGTGCGATGATAATTTTAGGTTTCTCGATAAAAAAAAAATTTACTCTTTTTGGGTGCGTGATTTCGCACATTCGTCATCACCTCTTGTATTTCCTCTCGTAGGAACACACACCCACTTCCGCCGAACATTGCCTCATGACGTCGGGCATTCATGGCGGGAAAGAGAGCCCGATAAGAAACAGCCAATCATTGGATTAGTTCCGAGATAACCATTATCAGGGATGTCCAATTTGATTGGTCAAAAGAAAAATTAAAGTAATTTTAATCACGTGACAATGCTATTCTTCATAAGTTGAGTCCTTTCGTTCAGTAGCACGTTCGCCTCGTTGCTTGTTAGGTGCGGAATTTTCAAATAATTTTGAGTCACAGGCGGATTTTTGAACGCTCAGCAATGGCTGGTACCAGCGGAGAAACTGTGGAAAGTCCAGCAACTTCTCCGAGACAACAAGCGAATAGAAAGCCCTCGCGAAATCGTCTTTCTTGTCAAGTCACTCTTCTTGATGGAACGGTTTTGACTACCGATCACCTACAAGTAAGTATTTTCCAACGGTCCCTTTGATAGTTTAAAGCTCCTGCGGTAGATCTCTTCAAAAATCTTGAAGCTCATCAATCAGTTTTTCCAATTTAAAATGGGAAATGCTGGTGAAAATGTTTCACCCCAAATGTCGTTGTCAAGATGGACAGCAGTACATTTTAAATCGAACATTTAGCACGGTTCGAATTGGCAATGATTTAAATGGTTACATGGAAACTCTCCCGCACGTAACAACTCTTTTCACTTAATGACACGATTTTACATTTGTGCTTTGGCTGTCAACTGGTTTATAATCGTGTTTGACGAGAAGTCAATTTGAAAAAGTTGAGAAAGGAAACGGTCGTCTACCGCGGACCTCCAAAGCCATTTTATTTAAATTATACAGCGGCCTTGACTGTGCACATTAACACGTTTCGTGGCCGATCGTCAGGGTTATAGCCTTATCTGCACACAAAACATACAATGCTGACAGTTTAGGTTACTCATTTTTTTGGCATTTTAGGTTTGTTGCCAGACTACCTTTGTTGCCTTTTGATGCTTGCATCATGATCAGGACAAAAAATTGTTCAATGAGTGTTGTTCGTATCCATCATAACGTACTTGGTCGTCCTTTAACCATTTTCCCTATGCAATTATGGATTCTCTTATGTGAAACTTTGTTTTGATTTATAACTCCATATTCACTGCTTAAGGTGTTGTCATCATTTACTCTACTCTTCATGTTCCAAAATTGGTGTGAAATCAAAAGGAACCATTGGAAAGGAAGCAAATGTTTTGATTATCAGTGAACATTTTCCAGGATAAATAAAATTATAAGCTGTGTAATGAACACTTAAAAACTAACATTCTGCAAGTTATACTTTAGCGTCCAAACGCCATCATAGATATGAGAACGTTAGAATTCAGTTAGCGATACCAAACTTTTTTGTTTCGGTTTGACCAGTTTGGCATTTGAAAGTAAAAGAGGTGTGATTCTTAGCTGTAGTCAATGTTCTAGCTTATTATTCTGTGTCCTTGCGATGGTTTTTGACACACAAATTACTTTTTCTCAAAGAAAAGTGCTAAGGGTATGGACCTGATGCACTGGGTAACAACACATCTAAACATTGCAGAGAAGGAGTATTTCGGACTTCTGTGGGAAGACAAAACAGGAGAAAAGGTATGTTCGTCCTCTTTTTATGTTATTAGATAATTTGAGGTTATCGGGCACAACTGAGCTTCGGGCAGCGATTAAAGCAGATGATTGTCTTTTTATAACTTTTCTTTGTTGTGTCTAGAAGTAAATCACCCCTTATCGACAAATTTAACACTGTTAGGCATTAAACAGAGAAAAAAAAACTATTCCCTAACTTGATATCTTGTCGGAATATAATTTTCTTCCGTTGCGTGACTATGACCCACCAAAACACTCATCAGAACTGTGCGTCTTGCTTACAGTAAAGTACAAAGAATTTTGTTTTTCTTTCTTTAGTACTGGTTAGATCCTCAGAAGAAAATAACAACTCAACTAAAAGGTATTTTGCGAGATTCTTCGTATGAAATTTTTTCCCACGATTAAGCCCCAACGCCTAAAATTAATTGTCATGTTAATGTGTATCCCGGACAATTTTCCCTTGAGAGCAATATTGTCTGATAGTTTGTTGAGCAACTTTGATCTGGTAACATTTATGATTTTTAGATAAAGTTCTTACTATGTGGTTTATGTTTACAAAATAACAAAAATATATTTGTTGTTATGCATTTATTATAATTTTGTTATTCATGTAAATTAAATTATTGTGATTAGTATTTATGGATGATCCTAGACAGGTTGAACTGATCTCTGTGCCATCCTCAAGTAAAAGGATTTACTTTTAAAGTAGTCAGGCTTAAAGTTATATTATGGGATAACCAAGGTTAATCCTTTATCAATGTAATCAGAAACAGTGAGTTTGTGTTTAGTCATATAATCAGCAAAAAGGGACCGATTACAATCGCCAGTTCCATCAACATATCTTTTACTACCCATGTGGTCTGGTTGTTTAAATATTTCTTGATCATTGTGCTCTATACAACTTACTGGCTCTCTTAACTTAATTGTACACAGGAATTAGTAGATCTGAGTGAGATCAATCTCTGACATGTAATATTCCAAGTATTTTAGAAAGCTTTTTTGTTTTTTATTTGTTTGTTCCACAACTGAACAAAAATCAATATCTGAAAGTGTAATGTGATTGTCTGGGTGAGTGTAGTCCTGAGAAGAACTGTTGTCCGTGGTGGTATCTGACGTTTTGACAACCTGTGCAGAAGTCATCATCAGAGTCACTTGAAACATCAGTCACCACCATCAACAACAGTCCTTCTCAGGACTATACTCGCCCAGACAATCACACTACACTTTCACATGTTACCCTCGCGTTCAAACCATTTACTGCAAAATTAATATCACAACATCATGCATGTTTATGAATCAAACAGTAGCAGAGTGATGTTTGTCATTCATATCTCTTTTGAATGACATCACCTTGTTTCCTTTTCCTGTTGTGAAGGAGAAGCACTTATGAACAAATTTCCCTCTGTCATCAATCATTTTTTTACTGACGCATTTGAAGTTTAAGTGCTTCAGATCTGATATTTATTCTGATATTAGTGCTGTGGGCACTTGTTGACACATAGTTAGTACTATATTAGGATTGATTTACAATGTAAGTACTTTATTTTATCAAATTCAAAATTCAACCATAATAAAATATTCATGTAAAGGAAAAAAATATGAATGTTGTTGACCTTCTGGTTTTCTCTCTAATTATCTTTGTTGTGTAGTTCTTGGTATGTGTTGTTTATTTGTAGAATAACGTACTCATCTCTCTGATAAAATCCTGATTATGATACATTTATTTTTACAAAAACTTTAATTTAACATTCTGTAGATGATATTAAAAAACACATTTATTTAAAAAAAAAAACTATGATTAAGCATTCTGGAGATATTACAAAATGTATTTAGCTGAGGTGAGGTTTTTTTGCTACATTTTCACAAAGGTTTTGTTGTTAAACATTTACAAATTGGCATCAACTCCTGATCAATTAGGGTTTACTTAGTACGTATAACTGCCATCCCTACCTTTTGTCCATACTGTCTGATGTGGTACATAATAACTTTTTCTAGAAGGTTAAAGACAATGCTAAACTTTACTAAATGTAAACAAAGATTTGGCTTCTGACTCTTTGATTATCATATTAATGGAATACATTTTTTTTTTTGTGGTCACAAGGGTCTGTTTGAGTAACTTACTTATTTCACCTGACCTTATCCAAGAGCAATATTTGAGACAATAAAGAAAAGAAAGTCATGCTTGATGGTGAATTGAAGATACTAACATTAGTAAGTTAAGCAAAGAATATAAATATATTTCAGGTTGTCAGCCAAACTTTGCCTTTGCTGTTAAGTTCTACGAGCCATATCCTTCACAGATCAAAACTGATTACACCAGGTTAGCTAGACATATGAGCATACTGTTGGTAGATAAATAGAGCAGTTTTTTTTTTTTTTTTTTTTTTTTTTTTTTCAATGAGTGTTGGAAGTAATCCAGAACTGCATAAGTTACTCTTGATTATGCTCAGATAATAATAACTCTAGAAAGCTCTTGCCACCATCTTAATTAGGTTTCAGGCAGTTAGTAATTACTTTGACTATACTTAATTTGTAATTACAGAAAAAATTAACTTTCAGTTATTGATATAACATTAGAGTTTGATTTAAAATATTATTTGGTGGAATATTCCTTGAATTATGTTGTGAGATCAATACCACTCAACCAAATCAAAGAGAAAATTCACATAGCATTCATGCAATACACTTCCATCCAATTTTTCTGTCGTGGGTTTCTTTTTATCTATTCTTTTTCCTTAGGATCTCTTTGAAAACCGCAAAGTTATTGCCATGAATTTCCAATAATAATTCTGATTAATAAGTGTTTGTAAAAGAAAGGTATAGATTAGTATTGTATGTTGTAGAACTCCTAGACTTCAGTGCAAATCTTGACACCAATCTCTTTTTAAATTGCAAGAAAACAAGGGGGGTTTTTTGTAATAAAAGTAAATCATAGATAGCAACCATTTTTGGTTCTTGAAAGATATTATGTTTAAATCCCTATTTTGCTTCTAAGGTATTTGATGTGCATGCAGTTGAGGGATGATGTAAACTCTGGGAGGTGAGATATGGATCCTAGATATTTGTTTTCATATATAGTAGGTGCTCCAAAGAGGGAGAGAACTTGGGTTGCTTAATATGTAAAATAACCATAGGGTTAGATAAAGGTGTATTTCCACTTCATCTTCTTTTTAACTGAATAAAGTTTCAAGGTCTAGAATTCCTCTAAGTTAGTGTTATGGTCACCTTCATTGTCACTGAGTGACTGTTATAATGTTGTTTTTTTCAGGTTGCCATGTTCCTTTAGCAACCAGGCTGTACTTGGATCATACATTGTGCAGGGTAAGTCCCTCAGGAAGCAAATCAAGAACCAGTTGTCATTGCATTCAGCCAATATTGTTATGGAATTGTTTTTCCACTTCACATCGTCATAGCCCAGTTGTAAGCTTACCTTATCTTTTACTGATGATGTAGGTGATGTTGGTGATTATGAAGCTCGCGAACATGGAACTGACTACTTGGATGGAATGGTCTTTGCTCCTGACCAGGTAATTGATGCTGATTAAAAGTAGTTTGTTAACTGAACTGAGTCAATGACTTGGTCAATTCTCTTGACTGGTTTTATGCATTTCCCATAGCTTAGTTTTGTCAATTTGGAGTCAAATCAAAAATTTCATTTGGGTTGAGATTTTGTCTTATTCTCATAAAGTGTCGTGTTGAACAGATTTATGTTGTCAGGACAAATTAGCTATTGGTCTGTCTTGCAAATGTAATAGCTGTCCCTATCACTTTTTAGAAGTAAATGGCAACTATCCAAAGTCAGTAACTTTGAAGGAATACTGTATTCTTTCTGTTTGTACAGACACAAGAACTACTGGACAAAGTTAGGGAACTTCACAAGCAAAATAGGTAGCATAAGATCTCCACTATTAAGAGTTATACTTTGGTTGTCTCAAATGTTATTTTCAACAAGTTTTGTATTCATAACCTTGTAGATGACAATTTTCAATTTTTCAATGTTGCTCAAACACATTCATTACTTTGAAAGCAATACATGGTCTTGCCTTGGCCTACATAAGTCATCAGTTGTTGCTTTCATAAACTTGTAGATGACAATTTTCAATTTTTCACTGTTGTTCAAATACATTCATTACTTTTCAAGCAATGCATGGTCTTGCCCCTGTCTATATAGAGACACTGGAAGATATGATTTACATTCCAGTGACAGCTTACTCCTTGCTCCTTGCAAGGGCAAAACACTTTCCATGTTCGGTGATCTTTCTTTCTATGTAGCCTCTCCTAAAATTAATTGTGGTTTGATCTTCTGTGTTCTATCAGAAATCTGCAATCTTTAAAGCGGTTTAAGAAAGCCACTAAGACATTTTTATTTGCGAAAGCTTTTTAATTCTTTGTATGTAGTATTTATGTTTCTACGTCTTGGTCAACATTTTTATTTATAGCTTTTAGTATCTATGTAGAGTTGAATTTTAATATTTAATTGTAATATGCTATTGAAAATTTTTATATTGATAATTGTGAAATACAAGTCAATAAATTATTATTATTATTATTATTATTATTATTATTAGTTTAGAGTGTTTGTTATAGGAAATTAGGTTTCGATGAAAGGAAGTTATTAAATAAATGAAAATGTCTTGATTATCATTGGTTGATAAATGACTTGACTAGAAGTTGCTGCTTTGGTAAATTTTTAAACAGAATCTGTTTGAAAGCAGGAATACCTCAACAGAAAGGCCTGTGATTTATTATTGAATATAAAGACTTAAAAAATGACAGATACTTCAAGCTCTCCAATTGGTCAATAACTTATCGTGTATTGGGGCAAGAAACCCATAAAGAAAATTGAAACAAGTGGTGTTTTGTCAACTTTACTTTCTTAAAGCAATAGAATGTTCTTTCTATCAGTGCACTGGCATTACAACCCAGTGAGGATGTTGAGAGACTGCAGGAAAAGTTTGTTGTCACTCCCCTCTGGCTTGTGATTTACAAACTTTTCTTGCATTCATCCAGCATCCCACATGAGTTGTTACACTGATAAACTGACAGAAGGTGCACTCTCTTTAGAATGGCAAGTTATTTTTTTGTGTTTGTTTTCCAGGGGTCTCAGTCCAGAAGAAGCTGACTTGCATTATTTAAAGGTGGCAGCAGCTAAACTTGTCATGTTTGGTGTTGATGCACATCCAGCAAGGGTAGGTGGGAATTTTTTTATGATTTTGTTTTAGTTTTTTACTTTACTGATCCGCCTTCATTTGTGGCTATCAGAGGGGATCAGGGGTAACCCAGTATTGCAGGCTCTCCATGCTCACAGCTATGGCATGGGTGTGACCACTAGGTGTTAAGTCACTTCTTTATATCGTTGTCAGTTCTCATTCTAGCTCTGAAAGTTTTCCCAGGAATTCCTTAGCTAAGTGACTAGGCAACTGCTGTTGTCTCATGCAGCCTTGTTTGTTACTTGCATGGTTTTTCAAGACGGTGGTGTTTTCATCAAGGGATCCTCTGAAGCTCTTTAATGTTTCTTTGGTCTTCTAGATCTTCTTTCAAATTCAGTAAATCAAAGTGCTCATGTATGCTTAAATCGTGTTGATATAAACAAGTGCTAGTAAACTTCACAGCACATGGTTACATTTTGCTCTGCAGTTTTTTAATTCACCCTGTTTTCATTACAATACATTCTCAGAAAGAAGAGATGTAAAACTTTTGGGAAATTTCTATCAGTCAGAACTTTACTTCTTTAACTAGAAATGATGAAAAATCTGATTTTTGACCTTGAAAATGGGGGTAGACTTATACATGAGTTCCACATATACATGCTTAAATACCCTATTTGTTCCATTCTAAATAAAGGAACAAGATGGCGCTGAAATACTCATTGGTGTCTCTCATGATGGTGTTGCTACTTACAGAGACAGACTGGTGGTCAATAAAATACCATGGTAGGTGCATGAATTCCATATTGCATTACTTGATTGATTCCTACTTTCCAAGGGGGAATAGAGGTGCAACTTCTTAAAACATTGTGGATAAATTATTCAGGAAACAGGCAATGAGAACAGACAAGCAAATCAACAGTGTTCTCCATTAATTTAGACATGACAGCTGGTGTTAAAGTGGTATGACATAGATTCTCTAAACTGATTTATGGCAAGAAGGGAGATATAACAATTCAAACTAGCAGCACTGCTATTTGCACTGCTACTAGCACTCCTACTTGATAAGAAGGCTCTCATTTGGTCAATTTTCTCTGATAACATATGTATGGCATTTCAGAGATCACTGGTTTGAAGGTTTCTTATTCCACATTTGATATGTACAGGGAGAGATGGTTAAGACTTGCAGATTTGTTGAAGACCCAGCTCCTTGTTGTGTTTACACTGACTTC